ATTCAATAATTCAATAAATACCAAGGTGAATAAGAAGTTTAATTCGATTCACTTAAATGATTGCGTTTCAAGAGAATGTGTAATTAACCATAATCATTCAATTGTTCAAATAAATTACCAGGATGAGTACAAAGATTAATTCGATTCGCTTTAACATTTGTTTTTCAAGAGAACGTGTGATTAACCATAATTATTCAATCGTTTAAATAAATTACCAGGGTAGGAACGAAGTTTAATTTGATTTACTTTAACGATTGTATTTCAAGAGAATGTATGATTAACTGTAATCATTTAATTGTTCAAATAAATCACCAGGGTGAGTATGAAGTTTAAATTGATTCGCTTTAATAATTATGCTTTAAAACATTTATTAATTATAATTATTCAATTATTCAATGATTCAATAAATTACAAAGCGAGTATGAGATTAATTAAATTTGCCTTAATGATTGTGTTTCAAGAGAACATGTGATTAACCATAACTATTCAATTGCTCAATAAATTACTAGGGTAGGTACGAAATTTAAATTGATTCACCTTAATGATTGTGTTTCAAGAGAACATGTGATTAACTGTGATCATTTAATTATTCAAATAAATTACCAAGGTAAGTATGAAGTTAAATTTGATTCACTTTAACGATTGTGTTTCAAGACATTGGTTAACCATAATCATTCAATCGTTCGAATAAATTACCAGAGTGAGTACAAAATTTAATTAGATTCGCTTTAACAATTATATTTCAAGAGACGTGTGATTAACCTAATTATTTAATCGTTCAAATAAATTACCAGGGCAAGTATGAAGTTTAATTTGATTTGCTTTAACGATTGTGTTTCAAGACTTCAAGACATTGATTAATCATAATCATTCAATCATTCAATATATTACCGGGGTGAGTATGAAGCTTAATTCGATTCGCTTTAACAATTGTGCTTCAAGAAAACGTGTGATTAACCGTAATCATTTAAACGTTCAAATAAATTACCAGTGTGAGTATGAAGTTTAATTTGATTCGCTCTGATAATTATATTACATGACATTGATTAACCGTAATTATTCAATCATTCAATAAATTACCAAAGTGAGTATGAAGTTTAATTATATTCACCTTAACGATTGTGTTTCAAGAGAACGTGTGATTAACCGTAATAATAATTCTAATGCAATAAACTCAACTGCAACTACATACCATAATCATCGAATAGCAAGTTCTATAATAGAAATTTTTACTTTGAATTATGATAAAAATTAACAATCTTAACTGTAACCACATTAATAAATAAATCTGATTAAACTTATTAAAATTTAATTACATATCGCGCATATTGCAATAAATAATAAATACTGTAAAGAATCTTTAACAGAAATTGATTAAACAAGTAAGACGGGTGGCGCCTAGTTATAATAATATATAAATAAAAGTTTTATACTTTATATTATAATAATATATTTAAAGCTCCCTTTTAACACTTCAAGTGCCTTGTTTCATAGTAAAAATTTTAGTCACCTGATCTGCGTGACATCTCGATCGACTGATACACTCCGTCATTTGCAAGACTACGTTCCTGGTGATATCTATCACTCCGTTCCTAGTATACTCATTTCTAACTCCCTTTAAACAATTCAAGCGCCTATTATATAATAAAATTTTTTGTAAATTTTATAAATTTCTGTTTTTGTTAGTTTATTTTTTTATACACATAATAAATAATTTTCAACAACATTTATTTGTATATTCGTCTTTTATTAGTTTTGTCACCCTTTATAGTTTCGTCAGTTTGATCACCTTTCCCAGTTTCGTCATTTAAGATTTTAATTGACGAAAGACGAAACTAGGTTTCGCGTTTCGTCAACGCGAAGCCTCGAGGTTTCGTCTAACAACTATAACCGCAACCCTAGTCACGCAGCTATTTAGTTGCATTACATGAGTAAAATGTGAATTGCTGTACTTAAACATCACAAATGCATCACAAAGTGCCATGATAAATTATAAATAATTTTATATTATTGTCATTCAGTAATTGCACTAATTAAATATGGATATTAGGTTGAAATTGGTCTTCGTCATATAACTTTATATACAATCATGCCTCCCTATAATCACCTCCTATATAAGTACATTTCTTTATAAGCTTATTTTTTCAAAAAGTATCTACTATTAAATATAATAAATTTGACCTCTTTAATTAGCATACTTTATTTATAATCATGCTTTTGTGGGTGTGACTTAAAAGGGTTGACTATACTAGGAACGTACCAGGAACATGGTGTATGGTTTGCTGGTAACTATCTGTTGACAATTCTAAAATCAGCGAGTCTGTTCCTTAAGTGATAGTAACTTCATATAATTGTTTTTTGGGATATGTTGCTCGAAAAAGGCATGTTAGATCTGGATAAGAGGTTAAGCAGTGTTTCAGGAGGGATTTGGGATAATTTAGGTCTTTGTAACAACTTAGCGAATGTATGAGTTTAGAATTTATTATATTCGGTGATAGAATTATATGTTTAATAAAGTCATATTTTATGATTTTCAGAAGGTATTAATAAAGCGAAGGTGGGTGTTATAATTTCTCCGGGCTGCGGAATTTTATAGTTAGAAATAAAAGGCTCTTGGTGTAATTTTTCCAAGGGCTAGGAAAGCCTTTATTTATAATTAATATATACTTGATATTCTGTCTATGCTACAAATATTATTTATGTCATTGATACTACCTATACGTCTAATATGCCACATATTACCCATCTATCCGACTAGCACACAAATTTAATTTATAAGTATAACGATCGCTTATCAATGTACTTTAATTATTCTTAAACAAAATTTTAAATATAAAATTTAAACAATCAAAATCTCTAGTTTTCTATATAAAATCTTATTGTGTCACCTTAGCTTTAAAATTTGAAAAACCTCATATTCTTCTACAGAAAAATAGCCAGATGACTCCCTGATTACTTTTTCATAGGATTTTTTTTTATATTTGCATTTATTATCCTTTTCGAAATTGCCGGTCATACGTAAATCATGAAAATATGGTCCATGATCGACCATTGATTTAATTGGGCTATGGTGCTTTGATCTACTAACTATAGAATTTTCCGGTCTTTCAAGATCAAACTTAATTATAAAACTTTTTTTTGTGCGGTAATTCTTCGAATTCTTCGGTGACTCCCAACTAAGTGGATTATAGCCACCTAAAATTTCAGTTTCATTTTCGTTCTTAACCTTTAAGACAGTTAAAGTTGGTCCCTTGTTATCACATCTTTTATGGAAATCATTCGGTGTAAATCCATCTCGACTACCTCTAGTAAGTAGTTTAAACTCACACTCCTTGTTGGCTTTTGGTGGTACAAAAAGTTTTTTCAGGCGGTTTAACAGGTGCTTTATTACATTAAATGTTGATAAATCATGATCAATTAGCGTAGAAATAAGATCGAAATGCTCTGAGTTAATTAGATATTTTTGGGACTCATCGAATGTCAGTGTAGGAATTGTTAAAATAGAAATTTCTTGGACGTTTGATTGATTGGCAGATTCTACGTTTATTTGAGGAATTTCGCATTGCGTTTCAATCGTATTCTCATCTAACTCTTTTAACATGTGTTGTAAAGAACTCAATACTTCGTTGGTATTCGGTCGTTTATCAGGCTCTTCATCCCAACAACGTTCATACAATTCGATATATGACATAGGCGTTCCTTTTACAGATGTTTCCCTTTTTCTTTGAAAAATTTGATAAATTACTTCAGATACACCTTTACAACGCTGGAAAGGCGAATGACCACTCGAAATTTCCCAAAGAAGAACTCCAAGGCTATAAATATTGGATTTTTTATTACGTTCATATTTATTATCCTTAAGGTATTGTGGTTCCATATAGGCAGGTATCATGTAAGTGGCCCAATAGCTTGCAGAATTCGTGTTAGTTGATTCAAGGTTTGGCTGCTCTGATATGCTAGGACCAGCTATCATCATTTTATCATCATGGACAAAGACATTCTTATAACTCTATAAAATAAAAAATTAATGTATTTGAGAATTTTTTTAAATAAAACCAAAATAATTATGAATTTCCTTACGAAATCTCTATATATAATGTCATTTTTATGTAATTGCAAAAGCCCCTCCGTAACTTCTAATGCCATACACAATTTATTTCTCCATGTAAGTTTACTAAAGTTTTTTTTTAAATATTCTTGCAAGTTACCTCCATTCGCATATTGCAAAATTAGAAAATAATTATTGTTATCATAATCTTTAGCAATTCCGTATAATCGATTAATATTCACATGAAGATTAACCATTGATAGGGATTGGGCCTAAATAAGTTAAAATAGTTACCATAAAATAATATTTTATCTGATTAATGAAATTCAATATAAACCTCTTTAATAAATTCTCGGATAACTATCTCGTCTACATTTAATTCAACTCTTAGGTTACTCAGTGCAATAGTAATTTTGCGACTTTCCCAGTAGGCTTTTACAACTTGGCCGTATCCCTCATCGATTTTCTCAATGGTGAATTCATTATAATTGCAAAGTTCAATACCGGATTCTGTAATAATTTTATCAGTTGAAGAATACTTAGTATCAATATTCATTTTAGTGGATTTGGTTTTATTATCTGTACATATCCAAGAATAAAAGGATTAAATCATGTTTAATGTTAGTAACAACTTTATAAATATTAATATATCAAAGAAATAGAAGATATAAAATATTCTGAACAGGACTAACCTTTATTTTCCGGTTTGTGTGTAACAATGTTATTTGTAATAAACTTAACGGATGATTCTGCAGAAAGCTCTTTAAGTTTACTTAATATCGTATCTAACTTTGGACGTTGATACGGATAATAAGACCAACATTTCTTATAAAGGTCAACATATCCTGAAGGTGTATCATTAATTACGTCCTCTCTTTCATCTTTTGAGATTTTTAAAATTATCTTTGCTGGGGGGAGATCATAAAATGGATGAATTCCACTTGTGAGCTCCCAGAACAATACACCGAGACTATAAATGTCAGATTCCTTATCACGCATAGTATTGTTATTTATAAGGCACTGTGGATCAATGTATGCTGGCATTCCTATTAATAAACTTAAAGTGGCAGAATCATTTAATTGTTTTGCCACTTCAAAGTCTGCGATTATTACTTTACCATCGTTTATTAAGATATTTTTAGAGTGCTGAAGAAATTTTACGATAAACGATTTAGATTGTAACAATTAAAATCTTGTAACTATAATTAATACGTAATTATAAATTAAACATACTAAATCGCGATGAATAATGTCATTGGTATGTAAATATTCCAATCCAAAAGCGATTTCTGTTGCAATTCGTATAAGTTCACTCCATAATATCTTATATAAACCTCTATTTCGCTTCTGTTTTAAATAAGCTCGCAAGTTTCCATCATTGGCATATTGTAATACCATCATGAAATTACTCGTTTCTGGGTCTGGGTTATTAAATATATCCGAATAAGCTAATATTATATTTTACTCAATTTAGTATTAATTTTAAAAATAATTCTTTACCCCTTGAAATTCCAAAGGATTCAATAATGTTAGGGTGCTTGGTCTTGCTGAGGACTTTAAGCTATATTAAAATATATCATTCATTAGTTCTGAAAATCAAAAGTAATCGTAATACAGTCCAAAATTTCAGGTGAAAGCAATTTTTTATTATGAAATGAAATATTTCTCAGGTTAAACCGAGCAAACCGATCCAAAATTTTGGATTGCACGCTAATATCCCATTAGAAAATCTGCGTAGTCTGATAAAATAGTAAAAACAATACCGATATTCTATAAAAATCTGCCATGTTTGAGGTCATGTGAATTAATCTGGCCAAAATGATATGGAAAATTGGTTTTGCTATTAATCAGGCTACGCAACACGTAACGATAACAAATTTCACATTACTTCATGAATAAGCTTTTTAATTTCTTTATTATCGAAAACAAGATTATTTCTTAAACTTTTTAGAGCAAATTTTTTCCCTTGATAAATGGCGGAGTATACAATCGCTGATCCCCCACTCCCGATTTGTTGCATGTTGCTAAATTGCGAGTAATCAAAATTTTTTACATCATTCTCTTTCAGTCTCACTTCTAATTGTGATGAGTGTTCAAGCACTAATATGCATAAGCATTCACAGTATTAATATACAGTCTAACATTGTGGGCTAAATTATTTTCAAACTTTGAAACTTTTCGCCTGAGTAGAATAAATTTCATCAAAGCGAAAGTTCTGTGTTGCTAGAAAACGAATAACTCCTAAATTAAGATTAAAATTGCTATAAAGTACAATTGCTTACATGCTTTTTTTTCTTCTGGAACTGTCAGGACATCGCTTGATCTATCTTTATAATCATCTTCAGCACCGCTCATCGAGCCAGATTGAACATAAATTAGCGTGGAGTTTTATATCTGTATATTTGTTATTTATTTTGTAGCTTTGAGGCATATACGTACGACAGTACAGTATAACCTTGATATAACGAAGCACTGGAGCTGGAGGTTTTGCTTCGTTATATCAAAACTTTATTGGAGGTTTCGTTATAACGGGACCAATTTAAGCATAAAAATTAGAAATGAACCTTCGTTATATAATTAGTGACCATTATGTCGAAGTTCGTTATATCGAGGTTATACAATCGTACTTATTATATACAAATATGTACGTATGTACGTACGTACTTACGTACCAATATTAGAAATCCTATACCGGAGTTTAGGAATCTAAGTCCGTATTCAAATTCATATATAAATCAGTTCTGACATGGTACGCACGACGTAAGTGTATACTTACTACATATGTACTGTACACAGTAAGTTATGGAGGTTACAAATCCGAAATAAGGTAAACATATATTATGTCTCCCATAAATAAGTTCTTTCTTTTAATTCTAATTTAGAAAACTCCGTCATGGATTTTCATTTTACCTTTTTTTTTTTGTTATTATTATTTGTACGCATTACGGGAATGACATCCCCAGACTAAGTGCATCATAACATGTAAATTTCTGTCTAATTAGGTGCGTCAAAATGTCAAAATGGATTGGCTATGGTCATCAATAGTGGTTTAAGCCGGCTTAGCCAGTTAAGCCAGCCAATATAAAGCTGTCGGCTGGCTAATGCGACTAAGGGTCACCAATCACATACAGTAATAAGTATTTTTTTATATAACCCAAAATTAAGAGTCGAATACATCGGAACTAGGCCGGCATTAAGCTATAATGCT